ACGGCACCTTTTACGACAGTCGCGCTTTACGGCACCTTTTACGACAGTTGCCTTTTCCAGTAGTTTTACGACAGTTCTGCTTTACGGCACTACCTTTTATGGAACTTTTACGGCACTTTACGGCACTTTACAGTTTTTATTTTGTTTTTCATTTATTTTTAATTTTTAAAATTTTATTTCTTATTTATTTTTTATTTTTAATTTTTCTATTTTTAAAGCTTTTTATTTTATTTTTTTATTTTATTTTTTATTTAATTTTAAATTTTTCTATTTTTAAAGCTTTTTATTTTATTTTTTTAATTTTATTTTTTATTTAGTTTTCAGTTTTAATTTTTCTATTTTTAAAGCTTTTTACTTTATTTTTTAATTTTTTTTTTTAATTTTTTTATTTTTAAATCTTTTTATTTTATTTTTTAATTTTATTTTAAATTTTATTTTTATTTTTAATTTTTCTATTTTTAAAGCCTTTTATTTTATTTTTTAATTTTATTTTTTATTTAATTTATATTTTTAATTTTTCTCTTTTTTAAGCTTTTTCTTTAATTTTTTAATTTTATTTTTAATTTTTAATTTTTATATTTTTAAAGCCTTTTATTTTATTTTTTTAATTTTATTTTTTTATTTAATTTATATTTTTAATTTTTCTTTTTTTAAAGCATTTATTTTAGTTTTTTTATTTTTATTTTTTATTTAATTTATATTTTTAATTTTTCTCTTTTTTAAGCTTTTTATTTTATTTTTTTAGTTTTATTTTTTATTTAATTAATTTTTAAAATTTTTCTCTTTTTTAAACTTTTTATTTTATTTTTTTAATTTTATTTTTTATTTAATTTTTATTTTTAATTTTTCTCTCTTTAAAGCATTTATTTTAGTTTTTTATTTTTATTTTTTATTTAATTTTTTAAAAATTTTTCTTTTTTAAGCTTTTTGTTTTATTTGTTTAATTTTATTTTTTATTTAATTTTAAATTTTTCTATTTTTAAAGCTTTTTATTTTTTTTTAATTTTAATTTTTATTTAGTTTTCAATTTTAATTTTTCTATTTTTAAAGCTGTTTACTTTATTTTTTAATTTTATTTTTTATTTAATTTTTAATTTTTCTATTTTTAAAGCTTTTTATTTTATTTTAATTTTAATTTTTATTTAGTTTTCAATTTTAATTTTTCTATTTTTAAAGCTGTTTACTTTATTTTTTAATTTTATTTTTTATTTAATTTTTAATTTTTCTATTTTTAAAGCTTTTTATTTTATTTTATTTGGTGCTGTCCAGACCAACTCAAGCTGGTGATTGTGGTGGTGTTTGAGGGTCTTGCACTACCTTTTATGAAACTTTTACGGCACTTTACAGCACTTTACAGTTTTTATTTTGTTTTTCATTTATTTTAAATTAATTTTGTTATTTTAATTTTATATAATTTTTATTTTTAATTTTTCTATTTTTAAATAATTTTATTTGGTGCTGCCCAAACCTGCTGTAGTGCATTTTTATACTTTGTAATACTTTGAAGTCATTTTGTTTTGTATCCCCATATTTTTCCCAAATGGTTTATCCCAAACTGTACCCCCCTCCCTTAACCTGTGTTTTCCCTCTCCCGGGATGAGATCATCCCCAAACCCCCACCCTGGCTCTCTGTCAATCACTCAGCCTCCCATCCCCTCCATGCAGAAGTTTCGGTCCAAGTCATCGAGTGATGAGCCAGAGGCCAGGGGTCAGCCCCCCAAGCCTTGCCCCATACACTGTCCTGTATGTCTGTCCCCCAGCATCCATCCCTTAGGGTCACTTAATGGTTGGTAGGATGTTCTCTGCTTTGGGTTTCCATCTCCCTTTAAATGTGACCTTGGCACATCTCCCGGGGCTCTCGGCAGGAGGCCCCTGAGGTGCAGGAGCTCCTCTGGGACTCCTAATAAAGCCTTGGAATAACCCCTGCTAAGAGTCGGCCCTTTCTCTTCTACCGATGTCTCTGGTGTCTCTGGTGCTGCAAAGGCGCCAGCCCAGGTGCCCTCAGCACCCTCAGGGCACAGAGAGTGTCTGCCCCAGCCCAGGTGCCCTCAGTACCCTCGGGGCACACACAGAGAGTGTCTGCCCCCAGCCCAGGTGCCCTCAGTACCCTCGGGGCACACACAGAGAGTGTCTCCCCGCCAGCCCAGGTGCCCTCAGCACCCTCAGGGCACAGAGAGTGTCTCCCCCCAGCCCAGGTGCCCTCAGCACCCTCAGGGCACACACAGAGAGTGTCTGCCCCAGCCCAGGTGCCCTCAGTACCCTCAGGGCACACACAGAGAGTGTCTGCCCCCAGCCCAGGTGCCCTCAGTACCCTCGGGGCACAGACAGTGTCTCCCCGCCAGCCCAGGTGCCCTCAGCACCCTCAGGGCACAGAGAGTGTCTCCCCCCAGCCCAGGTGCCCTCAGCACCCTCAGGGCACAGAGAGTGTCTCCCCCCAGCCCAGGTGCACTCAGCACTCTCGGGGCACAGAGAGTGTCTCCCCCCAGCCCAGGTGCCCTCAGCACCCTCAGGGCACACACAGAGAGTGTCTGCCCCCAGCCCAGGTGCCCTCAGTACCCTCAGGGCACACACAGACAGTGTCTCCCCCCAGCCCAGGTGCCCTCAGTACCCTCGGGGCACACACAGAGAGTGTCTGCCCCCAGCCCAGGTGCCCTCAGTACCCTCGGGGCACACACAGAGAGTGTCTGCCCCCAGCCCAGGTGCCCTCAGCACCCTCGGGGCACACACAGAGGGTGTCTCCCCCCAGCCCAGGTGCCCTCAGCACCCTTGGGTGTCTCCCCACTCTCGGCCGTGTCGGTGCTGCCGACTCAGGACCGGCCCAGGGTCACTGAGAGGCTCGCACAAACCCGCTCGGCCGCTGATTGTGGTGGTGTTTGAGGGTCCCCAGGACAAGGGAGGAGACGAGAATCTTGACTCCACCTTTCAGAAGGCTGAAATATTATTTTATAATCTCTATTATATTAAAAGAAAATGAGATATTAGAACTATACTAAAAGAGCAAGGAGACATCAGAAAGCTGGAAAGGAATTAATAATAAAAACCTGGGACTGCTCACAGCCCCGATGCAGCTGGACCATGATTGGTCATCAAGTAGAAACAATGCACAGGAGACCAATCCAAGATGCCCCTGTTGCTAAACCATCTCCAGCCCACACTCCACAGCCAGCAGATTGTTATTGGTTCCATTTCTGTTCTGAGGCTTCTCAGGAGAAAAATCCCAGCAAAAGGATTTTCATCAAACACGTCAGTGCCAGGTGATGGCACAGGCAGCATGGGCTGGCCGAGGTCACTGTGTCATCCCTGCCAGCCCAGGTGTCACAGCAAGGAGGAGAGAGTTCACCCTGTGCTCAGCCTGCAATACAGAGCAATACAACACAACACACATATTAACACAAGATGATAACCTTTTCCTATTTTCATTACATGTTGATTTTTTGTTACAGAAAACCCAAAACAACAAAAGCACACAGAAAACAACACTCATCTACCATTAACACCCCCTTCACATGACACACGAACTCACCATCCCTCTCATCACAACTGCTAAATTACACCTCAGCAATCATTGGTCCTCAGGAACGTGGTTCCCGGGAGCCTCCAAAAAATCCTCCTGCCTGACGAAAACCCCGGTCCCTGGACGGTCCACACCCAAACTTTGGCGATCAACAGACCGACCCACTGCTGTAGGTGGGTGAATACCCTCACACACACCCAGAAATCCCCCTGTGCAGTCAGAGGGACGAGGCTGCTCAGCGTTCCTGATCCCTCGCCTCCAAAGGGATGGGCTGGGAGGGCAGGGGTCTTGCTGTGGTGTGGGATGCAGCTGGTGGAGCATCCCAAACACTGAGTCTGGCTTTGGAAAAACTCCTTTGTGTCCAGGAGGAGCTGGGGGTGTCCGTGGTCCCCACAGTGACCCACAATGAGACACTTGTGTCCCCCAGTCCCCTCTGTTCCCCCCATGCCTGGCAGAGCCCCGGGCTCCAATTTTGCACTCTTTGGTTGGGATCGTCTGTTCCTGGCAATCATGAAGAAATGTTCCGCTTGTAAACTTATGTACATTTTATTAAAACTATATCTGATGACAAGCACCATCTCCACTGTGCCTTCCTTCTCCCCTCCCCGGGGAAAATATTTCTGCTGGACACAGGGAAGCTGGGTTTTAATGAGTTCTTCCTACCTAAGTGCTGAACTGGGTTTGGATGTTTAATCTGGCAGCTGTGAAGTCAAACTGATCTTGCTGCTTTAAGCAGAGGATATTTCAGTTTGTATCCAGTTTATATTTCAGAGAGAACCCTTCCCATCAAGGGCAGGACAGAGCCCTGAGCCCTCGCTGTGTGCTGGTTAAACGTGTTTTTTGGTATCATTCAGCTGCCAAGACTCTCTTAAGTGCAAAATATTAATTGGGCTTTGCTAGACTTGTTATTTTAATTTTTCTCTTGAAGTAAATGTCCATTGAGAGAGATTTTGTGCTGTCTTCTGGCTCTGCACAGCTCCTGACAGGAGGGGACAGCCAGGGGAGGGGACGGGAGAGGGAACGGCCTCAGGCTGGGCCTGGGGAGGCTCATGCTGGAAATGGGGAAAATTCCTTCCTGGAAATGGGAAATTTCCTTCCTGGAAATCGGGAAAATCGGTGTTAAAATTTTCCTTTCTGGAAACTGGCAAAATTCCTTCCTAGAAATCAGGAAAATTCCTTCCTGGAAAGGGCTGCCCACCCCGGCACAGGCTGCCCCGCGCAGGGCTGGAGTCGGCACCCTGTGTGTGTGGCACTCGGGCCCAGGGTCCGTGGCGACCCTGGCCATGCGGAGAGCGGCGCTCGGTGTCCCGGCAGCCCCGGCAGCCCCGGTCGGAGCCCGTTCCCTCACGCCGCCGCCGCCATGCCCGCTGTCCCCCTCAGGCGCAGCCGCCGGAGGGCGCCGCGGTGCCCGCTCGGCCGCGGGGAGCGCCAAGATGGCGGCGGCGCGGCGGCTCTGCGCGGCGGCGGGGCTGGGCGGGCGGTAGGTGACCGCGGGGCCCGCGGCTCCCGCTGCCCCGGTGCGGCTTTTTCCCGGAGGGAGCTCGGTTTATTCCCGGAGGGTGCCCCTCACGCCCCTTCCCCACGCGATTGAAAGGAGGCTGCGTCGCAGTTAGCGGCACCGCGACCTCCCGGGCCGCCCCGGCTGCTTCTTGCTCTTCCCCTTCCTTTTTCCACCGCGGACGGGGGTGACGCTTCTTCCTGGCAGGCAGCGGGAGGCTGTTTCTCCTTCTCAGCCCGTTCCAGCCGCGAGCTGGTAGTTCTGCAGTTCCTGGGTGCTCGGTACACCTGGGGAGAACCATGAGGGGTAATTCCCCTCAAACCCTGCTCGAGATGCTGCACCGAGGGGTAATTCCACACACACATCCTGCTCCGAGGGGTAATTCCACACACACATCCTGCACCGAGGGGTAATTCCACACACACATCCTGCACCGAGGGGTAATTCCACACACACATCCTGCACCGAGGGGTAATTCCCCTCACGCTCAGGACACTGCAGCCGGGTGTAATTCCCCTCACATGTGCTCACATGCTGCTGTAGGGGATAATTCTGCACCCCCCCGTGTGCACAGGATCAGGCAATGAGGAGCTGTTACACCCTTCCCACTCCTGTATGTTCAGGGCTGTGAAATAAGAGGAAATCCCTCCCTCACGGTTAGCTCAAGATCAAGCAGTGAGGGGGATTTAGAGGACCCTGTAGTGCTGGGCACTGTGAAATGGGATATAATCATCATTAGCTAAAGGGAGCTTCCAGGGCACCTTCCTTGCACATCCTGTTGTGGTTTCTACTTGCTCCCAAGCCCACAAAAGTAAGCAAATAACGCAATTTAGACCTTTTCTGTGTTGGTGTGTCATGTGCTCACAGTAGGGATGTTCATTTCGTGAGACAGGGCTTCTTTGGGACAGTGGAAATGTGGAATTTGGAAATTGTTAGTAAAGGTATTTTTCTCTAGGTTCTGTCACGTGCTGTTAAAAGATCATAATCTGACAACTCGCCAGCCTTTCCACCAGCTCCTGCAGAAGAAACCATCTCTTCCATCTGCAGCATGGCATCGTGCAGGTAGATACCAGTTAAAAATACACAGATGAGCACATTGGGGGTTCTTCTGTCCCGTGGTAATGCTGAAAGTTTGCTTTTTAGTAAATAAACGTTAGCAAAAGAGCCAAGGTTCCTTTCATCCTGCTGTCTCCTGTGAGATGATGTGCCCGTGTTCAGCAGGGTTCCCATGGGCTGGGATCACCCTGGGCTTGCTGAGTAATCAGGACTTGACTTCCACTTAAGCTCCTTAGGTTTGATTATATTACTTTTCTTTGTTTTTGTCTTTGCAGCGAGAGGCATGTTTATTCAAACCCAGGACACACCAAATCCAAACAGCTTGAAGTTTATTCCAGGAAGGGAAGTGCTGGGGTCCAGGACTATGGAGTTTTCCACGCCAGCTGCAGCCTATTGCTCACCTTTAGCAAGGTATTATTATTCCCTTTTAAATAGAGTTTGGAATAAAAATTTCCAAAGAATTAACAGAAGCTCCCTGGAGGAGAGGGAGGGAAGAGAATTATTTGATTATTTCAGATGGTTTGGTGCACTTGCATAATTCCATGGTTTAAGTATTTTCAAAATCCAGCTGATTTAGTGATGCAGATGCTCAGTGCACGTACACCCGTTTCATGTGTAGAAATTCTTTCAAGTGGGTATTGTGAAATGACTTTTATCATGTTCCATTACACATACTTTTGTGGTAGGATTTCTGATTCTTTCATTCATTGCATTTTTGATGATTTCCATTCTTCCAAGAGAATATATATTTTTTTTCCCCTGTAATTACAAAAAACACTCTTAGAGCCTTACACTGTATTTACTCCTAGTACACCACAGTTTAATATTTTTTTCTGTAGATGAAATTGTTTGGTAACCATATTGTTAATTGGTAAAATTAAAACTTAACTTGTCGGATTGAGTGCATTTTTGCCCACTTTTCCCCCCTGGTGTCCTTAACAGACAGTTATTCCGGATTGAAGGAGTGAAAAGTGTTTTCTTTGGGCCAGACTTCATCACAATCACCAAGGTAAGCAGAGCAGGGATTCAGCTGTGCTCAGAGATGAGCAGATCCAGGCAGGCACAGTGGAGTTCCAGAGCAGTGTCCACGAGTGCCTTTAATACAGAACAAAATAAGTTCAGGGAATGATAAATAGCTAAATTGACAATCTTGAGTCTCTGAAAGAGTTGATAAAAATATCTGTCAAATGATAATGCATTTTGGAGACTTGCACACCTTTTTAGCCAGTATTTTTAAAGCACTTGCTTGGCTTGCAAACAAGGAGAGCCTTCTTTGGCTGCCACAGTCTGAGTCTGACTGAACGTCTGTTTAAAGCTGGACTTGAGAGAACATGAACCCAGTCTGTGCATCAGCTGGGGCAGTCCCTGGTGGCATTTGAATGTGAGGATCTCTGGGAATGTAGCAGCAGCAGGCACGTTCTCTTCCTCATTCTTTTTCCTTCCCCTCTTCTGATTCTCACAGGAGAGCGAAGACCTGGATTGGAACTTACTGAAACCAGATATTTATGCAACCATAATGGATTTCTTTGCCTCTGGCTTGCCTGTAGTGACTGATGAGGCACCCAGGACAGACACAGGTAAATCAGACCTTCAGGGGAGGCCAAGTCTGCCTTTGGGTTTAGCTTTTGTGGCATGCAGAAGAGCCTCCCCTTCTCCCTCAGAAAAGCAGGCAGGAGAATTTAAATTTAAAACCCGTTAAGGTGACTGCAGGCAGGAATTTGCAGCCTGGAATTCTCCCAGTGTTCTGACTTGCACGTTTTTCTTTTCCTAAGCTGCTTCAGAAGAAGATGATGAAGTTGTACTGATGATTAAGGAGCTGCTGGATACAAGAATCAGGTAGTTTATATTCCAAAGGAAGATCTCCTGGAAAATCCTGGCCCTCAGCAGAATTTGGCCTTGCACTCTGATTTTATTGGTGCTTTAACACAGCTTGAATTTAGAAATGGTGGTGACTCATGGAGTCTCAAGAGTGGCTGTGGATCCTGTTGTTGACCTGAGGAGTATTTTGGTGCTCATTAATTGCCTTCCAAAGCAAACTGAAAGCAAAAGCAACTTGACATTTGAGGTGCAGGGGAAGATGTCTGATGTGTCTGTGATATCTGATGGTGCCATCTTCCCCAGCTCACAAACTGCAGGGACCAGAAACTGTATTTTTTATTTATTTATTTTTTTTAGCAGCTGCATTGAAACTGATATCACGTTATTTACAAATTTTATCTCAGAGCAGACACACGGTGCTGGTTAATTTTCCTGAAAAAGGAGGAAAAGTAGAAATAAGCTGGAACATCTTTCCCAACATTTGCACTGAATGTTGAAAGCAGAAGCCAGGTAGTGTTGTATAAAGCTGACAGAAATGCCCATGTTCCTGCTGGCTGCCTGGCTGTTCAGTGTCAGCCCTTGATCTTCCTGGGCCCTTTTGTAACAGGCGTGGAATTTCTGCCCAAAATTCTGCTTTTCCCACCTTTTCATTTCTTCAATTTCCTCCCCCTGTACCCGTCAGTGCACCAATAAGGTGTTGATGAGAATATCAGCAGTGGTGGAGCTTCCTTCATTTTCTAGCAGGGTATTCTCAGAAATTATCCATCAGCCAGGCTACACATAGAGCATTTATTGTCCAGCAGATCCAAATTAAATGCAGAGGAGTTGTCAGAAGGTGCAGGATGGGGGGAATGTACATCTAAAAGGTCCTGTAGTGTGTCAAAAAGTTAATTCAAGTAAGCAAAATGGAATTTTAAATGATGATCTTTGGCTTTCTGGAATGGAGATAATTTGCTGTGGTGAGTTTATAAATGTGTCAGGTTCACAGATTTTTCTGTGAGGACTGTAGCTCTCAGAGAGTTATTTTGGAAATCAGTATAAAGAGCTTCTGTTAGAGGAACTTGATGGTTTTAACTTGGTCTGGAAAAATGTTGCTATGGGGACAGGGCTACAATGCTGGGCATTTGTGGCTGCAGAGGGGGAGCAGGCTGCAGAAATGCTGTGGCTCTGGGGTGAGCTTATCAGGAGCTGCTTCCTTCACCTGGGAGCAGGATTAACCTTTTAGAGCTGGGGTTGTTTTCTGCCCTGCACAAATTGTGGAGAAATGCATATTTATTGATGGAAGCAGGGCTTCTTATCACAGGTGACAGCTGTGCTGCACCCGGGGGGACACACCCCACACCCATGAGGTGTTTGTTGGCAGCACCTGGGGCAACCACAGCCAGGTAAGGCTGAGCTCTGCCCCAGGGTGTTCATTCACCCTAAAATCTGCAGGTAATGCAGGCTGAGCTCTGCCCCAGGGTGTTCATTCACCCTAAAATCTCCAGGTAATGCAGGCTGAGCTCTGCCCCAGGGTGTTCATTCACCCTAAAATCTCCAGGTAAGGCTGAGCTCTGCCCCAGGGTGTTCTGTACCCTAAAATCCCCAGGCAGGGCAGGCTGAGCTCTGCCCCAGGGTGTTCTGTACCCTAAAATCTCCAGGTAAGGCTGAGCTCTGCCCCAGGGTGTTCATTCACCCTAAAATCTCCAGGTAAGGCTGAGCTCTGCCCCAGGGTGTTCTGTACCCTAAAATCCCCAGGCAGGGCAGGCTGAGCTCTGCCCCAGGGTGTTCTGTACCCTAAAATCTCCAGGTAAGGCTGAGCTCTGCCCCAGGGTGTTCATTCACCCTAAAATCTCCAGGTAAGGCTGAGCTCTGCCCCAGGCTGTTCTGTACCCTAAAATCTCAATGCCTACAGAAAAGGTTTCTGTGTTAGCTAGTCCAGCACAGCAGGAGTTGTTGGAAATGTGGACCAGGTGGTTGTAGAGAAACAGTGACTAACCCCCTCTGTGTCCACAGTTACTGTAAATGTTGAATGTTGCTTTCCTGAGGGTTTCTGGAAGGATCCCTGTTCCAGCTCTGAGCTTTAGGGTGAATGTTGTGTTCCCCCAGGCCCACGGTGCAGGAGGATGGCGGTGATGTCATTTACAAGGGCTTTGAGGATGGCATTGTGCAGCTGAAGCTGCAGGGCTCCTGCACCAGCTGCCCCAGCTCCCTCATCACCCTCAAGAGTGGGATACAGAACATGCTCCAGTTCTACATCCCTGAGGTGGAAGGCGTTGAGCAGGTGGGTTGGGAGACATCACTGAGGTTTCCTTTTCAGTGGCAAAGGAGCTCTTTGTCCCTAACCCTAACCCTTTCCAGCAGGCTGGGGGCAGTTAGGAAAACCAGGGCTGTGTGGATGCAGGTGTTCCAAGGCCGCTGGAGAACCCAGAGCTGGACACACTTGCTGATAGCTTTGTGCTTTGGTGACTGGATGTGATAAAAAGCAATGACCTTTGTCCCCTGGAATGCAGATTCTTTGGGTTTCTCATGAAATATCTGATCTCTGGAGCCATTGTTTCGTGCCCTTTGTGGTGGCTTGACCAGCTCCTATAATTAAAGCTCATTTCCTCCTGGCATTTTGGATTGCCAGGTTTTCTTACCTTCCTCCTGAGCCCGTTGTTCAGTGGTGTGGAATAACTGCTGCTCTCCTTGGGCCCAGCAGGGATTTAATGTAATAAGTCCTGCAGGACTGAGAGCTTAACCTGTTTATCTAAACTGCTTCTGGGTTTGGTTTCAGGTTGTTGACGACGATGATGACGCGGAGAAAGAAGCAAATTCAACTTGAGCTTCGTCATCTGTGGCCAAATAAACATTCACCTCCTGCTGTATGTAAACCACCTTTGTGCTGAGGAACAACCAAGGCTGCCTTGTCAGAAAAACAGTTGTAGCTACTGTGAGAATGCACCATCAGTTCAAGCAGTTCACCCTCTAATTTATTAAATGCCCTGGATTACAAAAAGGTTCTTCTGCTATGTCTTTAGAAAGGAATGGTGGGCTCAGAAAACAGTGATGTGTTTGTTGTTTTTTCATACAGATCTTCAATACTGGAAGAAAGAGAAGGCAAAGTTCCTTGGCTTTTTTGTGCAATAGCAATATTAAATGTTTATTCCCCCAACCTGTGGGACTGACAGGACTGGCTGCCCTTGCTCTGTAAGTGGGAGCTTCAGGAATGTTAATTTTATCAAGTCTTGCTAAAAAGCTGCTGATTCCTAGCAAACTTTTGTGAAAGATAACCTATAATATCAACTGTTCATTTTGGGGGCTGTAACACTGCCATGGCTTTGTGGAAAGTTACCTCCTTGCTCATTACCACTCTGCAAACCATAGCAACAGAAACAAAAAAGGTTTGTTACAAAAATCATGCCTTCTAAAGCAAATGTTAGAAAAGAACGATCCTTATCAGCTTCAGCAAGTAGACTGATGAGTTCATCTAGCAGTAAAATCGTCCAGCCACCATGCAGCAGCTGATTTCTCAGCACTGGGAGGAAGGAGGGCCTGTGTTTGTGCTGCTCCTCCACATCCTGTTTGCCTGGTACGTGGCAGAGCAGGGCTCCTGCAGTCCTGCACACATGGCAGGGGCTGTTTGCTGTTCTGAGTTGGAGCACATCAATGGGGCTTTGCAGGAGCTCTGTTTACTTTGTGTGTGGGGAATGGTTTCTTCCTGGTGCCGGCTTTGTCACCAGGAATTCTGTTCCTTCCTGGTGCTGCCACCACGGAGCTGAGGTCGTGCTCCTCGTTGGCTTGAGAGCCTCTGGTGTGTTCCCCTCTCTCACCCCTCCCCAGTGTAATTATTCCACTGATAAGGTCCCTAACCAGGCTCAGTTCAGCCGGTGGAGAATCCCCTCTGCAGCACCACGTCAGCATGTGGTAACTGTCAACTACCTATTACTTGGTAGAAATTTAAAAATAAATGTTTTAGCTAAATAAGCTAAATATTTACTCAGATTTCAATAATAACCCGCAGTTGTTTGACTCTGGAAATCGGTGTGAAATGACCACGTTTTCTTTGAGTCTCTGGTGAAGGACTCGGGGGTATTGATGGCAGAATTCCCTGCTGCAGGGCAGGGAGGGTGTCCTGCTTTGAAGCTGCAGGCTTCTCGTGTTCCTGAGACCTCCTCCTCCTCTCTGCTCTGTGCCCAGCCAGGTTCTGGTAGCAAGCTCAAAATACGGTTCTGTGTCCTGATGTTGTGGGTTGTTTCTGTGCTTTTGAAGGAAATAGTTCTTTATTGAAATTTTAGTGTCATATAAAGTAGAATGAATGGCATTTCTCTTAAGGCATTGCTCTCTTTTGTAGCCTTAGGTTTTTATTAAATTTCCAGGCAGGGTTTGATGGGGGTGGCTGCAGACAGACAGACAGACAGACAGACACAGCACACTGAGCTCTCCAGCTGCACGGATGTCACGCCTTGGTCAGCTATGCCTGTCCCAGTTTGCTCTGCAGATTCATCTTAATGGTTTCTTTCTGTGCCTCTGAATGGGAGCTGTTGTAGAGCGGGCTGGGGAAGGCAGGAGGCAGCTCGGGGAGCCCGCGGCGCCGCTTCGTCCCTGCCTCGGTCGGCACCCGCTGATCGCCAGGCACCGGGAGCGCCCGGGGGGATCCGTGCGTGCTGCCCTGCCTGGCGTCAGTGGGAATTACCGGGGCAAAACACCTCCCGTCCTCCGTCCGGGGCCGGGAAATGCCGGGAAGGGTTCTGGGAAAAGGGATACACTGTTCTGGGGTTAGGAATTACCGGGAAGGGACTGGGAACGGGCATCCCCCGGTGTGGGGCTGGGAATTACCGGGAAGGATGCGGGAGCGGTCTCCCCCCGGTGTGGGGCTGGGAATTACCGGGAAGGATGCGGGAGCGGTCCCCCCGGCCCGGCCAGGGGGCTGGGAATCGCGGGGTCTCTCGGGGAGCGGGCCCATCCCCGTGTGCCGGGGGTGTTTCCGCCCCTCGGCCCGCCCGGCCCCCGCGGCGGACGCGGCCCCGGCAGCGGCTGCCACGTCCCGGGGCGGGCGGGCGGCGCGGCCAATGGCGGGCGCGGCCGGGGCGGGGCGGGCCGGGGCCTGCGCCGGGCCTGGCGCGAGGGGCGCGGCCCCGGCGGCACAGACAGCGCGGCTGCGGACCGGGACGCACCATGTGCGGTGAGCACCGGCCCGGGGACGCCGCGGGGCCCGGCCCGGCCCCGGCGCGGCGGGAGGAGCCGCTGGGGCGGGCGCGGTGAGGCCGCGGCCGGGCGGGGACGCGGGCACGGCCGGGCCGGCTGAGGGGAGAGCGGCCCGGCCCCGTTATCCCGAGTGCGGGCGGCGGCTCGCTCCGTGCCGGGGATTTAAAGGGCCGATTGTCGGCGGAGCGTGGCGACAAAGGGCCGGTGCCCCGGGCTGGGCGCTGTGCCCTGTGCCGGTGGGGCTGGCCCGGGGACACCGGGGGAACGGGCGCTCCGGGGCCGCTCCAGCCGAGCCTCTGCTGCTGTCGGAGGCACCGCTCCCACCCGGTGCCCGTGGTGGTTTTTGGGCGTTGCTGCTCCGGTAATTTGTCCTCCGCAGGTCGGTCCGGGCTGGCCCGGTGTGGCACGGAAGGGTCCGGCCTGGCCCTGACCGTGCCCGAGCTCGGCCCAAGCCCGGAGTGAGCTCGGCCCGAGCCGGTCCCGGTCCCGGTCCCGGTGCCGGTCCTGGTTCTCCTCTCCTTCCACTCCGCTTCCCATGGCAGTGCAGCCACCCTGCCCATCCTTCGCGCACAGGAATGTCAATTATCCTTTCCCTATTCCCTTCTCTTCCTGTTTTTCCATGGAAATTTATGCAACAGCAATCTCTTGGATTTTCCTATTTTCTTTCCACGCTACCTTCTTTTTTTTCCCCCTGTATTTTTGTGTGCAAAATTACGCTCTCAGCGGGACTGTGCGTTTTACACTTAACGTGCAAGTTGCCATTTCTCTCATTGTTTTTGTGGGATGGAACCGGCGTTGCCTTCAAGCTGTCAAACTGTGGAGAATCAGTCAGAGACTCGTACCTCAGCTCACATTTAACACCGTGTTAATTCCTGTTTGAAAGTACAAAGCGGAGCAAAGCTAAGAATAGAAAGGATAATTATTATTATTATAAATAGCTTGCTGCAAGAATAGGGGTGGTTTTGGTGCCTCGTGCTTGCCGTATTCGAGGTCCGGCCTTTGAAATGTGCAATATTTACATCTGCTCTTTGTCTTTTCTGCCTGGAAAACACCGGGCAGTTCCTCAGCTGTGCTCAGGATTTAAGGTGTCTCCCCCCTTTTGGATACAAGTGAAGTTCTTCCTGGATGTTGAAACATTTCACAGGAAGAGTGAGGAAAGCACAGGGGATTATTGTCTCTGTTGCTGAGGCTGCTCTGGGATGTATCCTGGAGTGAGAGAGCGATGGTTTGTCTGGGTCTGATTTCCCAGGCTGTGGCAGCTGCAGGGCCTCAAACACAACATTTCTGTCATGGAATTGTGGCTGGGGATGGACAGACCTTGCTTTATCCTGCTACCCGCCTTCAGAGTTTTACCCAGTTCACACAGAAAGGTTAAGGTGGGTTTTAAAAGAGATAAATGTGACAATGGTGCTGTTACCTGAGTTCTCAGACACCTCAGTCTGTGGCACTGAGAGGATTCCAGCCTCCAGACTGGAGTTATCAACACAGTGTTTTCAGCCTGATGTGCAGGTTTGTGACCTTACAAAATCTGATGGGCTGGTGCTGCTGGACAGGTAAAGGAGAGGAGCCTCCAAGTGCCTTGGTGCCTGCTGTGAGCACTGTTTGGATGTGCTGGGGTTTGTTTCTAACGGTGAAAACCAGGGTTTGTCCTTGGCTGTGGGTGTTACACACCTGCAGTTTGAGCACCTGGCCAGGTGTGAGCTGGGTGTGCTTTGGTCCGAGGGTTCAGTGGCATCTGCGAGACACTTCAGGAAACTGGTTTTTCCAGGGCTGTTCTGTAAATCAGTAAACCTGTCATCTGCCATGGCTGAATTTAATGAGCAGAAGGGACTCAGAGTTCAGGTCTGGGGTTGGGATGGCAGAATCCAGGTCTGGGATGGCAGAATCCAGGTCTGGGATGGCAGAATTCAGGTCTGGGATGGCAGAATTCAGGTCTGGGATGGCAGAATCCAGGTCTGGGGTTTTAGAATTCAGGTCTGGGATGGCAGAATTCAGGTCTGGATGGCAGAATCCAGGTCTGGGATGGCAGAATTCAGGTCTGGGGTTGGGATGGCAGAATTCAGGTCTGGGGTGGTAGAATTCAGGTCTGGGGTTTTAGAATCCAGGTCTGGGGTTGTGGAATTCAGGTCTGGGGTGGTAGAATTCAGGTCTGGGATGGCAGAATTCAGGTCTGGGGTTGTGGAATTCAGGTCTGGGGTTGTGGAATTCAGGTCTAGGACAGAAGAGTTCAGGCCTGGGGTGGCAGAGCTCAGGTCTGGCTTTACTAGTGATTCCTGAAGATAAAGATGGGCTTAGGAAGGACTTGGGTTTCTAGTTCTGGGCTTGCATGTACCTCAGTGGGGACATTGAGCCCCTCCTCATCTGTTGCCCCTGGCTGTGCCTGGTTCTGCCTTGCAGAGGAGCCCGGAGCTGTGGCCCAGGGTGAGTCCTGGGGCTGCTGCTCTGCTTGTTTACTCTGGGCAGGAGAAACCCTGCCCCTTTTAGCTGGAGAGGGAGCGTGGGCAGCAGGCACCAGTGGACAAGTGTGGATCCCCACTGGGTGGGTGTTTTTCTGGTTTTGCTTTTTCTCCCAGCCCGGAGGTGATGAATTGAGTGTCAGCTCCCAGACACAACAGTGGCCTGGCCCCGTGCTCCTCAGACTGGGCAGAAAAAGGGACCTTGTGGGACTCCAGGAGCTCCTCCAGCAGGGCTGAGCAGCAGCTCTGGCATCAAGGATTCCTTGGAATTGCCCGGTGGATGGTAACAAGGTCTATGGAAAGGAGTGAACAGTAATAGGAAAAGGAATTTGGGAGTAAACCCAGCCTGAGGGCTTTTCTGCTTTTGTAGGGAAAGGATTGCAAGAAGCAATTCCTTCAGGTATCTCAGTCATTTACCTGGAAGGGGTAAAGGCATTTTATTTGCCTGGGAATGTGAAATTAAGGAACCTGAGCTCCAAAAATGTTCGTGAGGAAAATAAAGTTCTCAGAAGAAGTATTGTGACTGTCAGCTATAGAGATCAATAATGCCCATTTGTTGGAAATGTTACTCTGTTAAAATGACCAGCTCTTTAGAGAGAATTCTTTATGTAGCTGAAGGCCTAGGATTTGTGCTTGAGTGTTAAAAATCAGCTCTGTGAGAGAGCTGAGTGTCAGGAGCAGCCAAACGCCTGTTCTGGTGCTTCCCCAGGTGAGGTGTTTAAGGCAAACCTGCAAGAAAGGAAATGCTTTATAGTCTAAATTATATTGTTCAAGGGATTGCACTGGAGAGAATCCATTTCTGTGGATCTCAGTGTGGTCCAGGAGCTGCCTGATGAGCTACAAGCTTTGGGTTGCTCTTTCCAGTCCACACATGCAAACTCCTGTGTGGGGTGAGCAGCTGAAATGTTTTATTGTGCTGTGGAGTGTCACTTCTGCCCTAATTCTGAGTTGCACTGGGGTTGAGACTGAGTTTGTCAGAGTGTTCCAGACAGGGGAGCTGTGATTTCTGCCAGCTGGGGATTCCTGCACCCCTGGCTGCTCTCTCTGCTCTTGTATGGGAATTCCTGCACCCCTGGCTGCTCCCTGTCCTCTTGTTTGGGAATTCCTGCACCCTTTGCTGCTCCCTCTGCTCTTGTTTGGGAATTCCTGCACCCCTGGCTGCTCCCTCTGCTCTTGTTTGGGAATTCCTGCACCCCTGGCTGCTCCCTCTCCTCCTGTATGGGAATTCCTGCCCCCCTGGCTGCTCCTCTCCTCTTGTATGGGAATTCCTGCACCCTTTGCTGCTCCCTCTCCTCTTGTATGGGAATTCCTGCACCCCTGGCTGCTCCCTCTCCTCTTGTA